TCTGTGACATCCTTGACAACGACGTCAAATACCGAACTGTACTCAGCAACGGCCCCTTCAAAAAAGAAGGAGTTCTTCAAGAATCTGATGTGATCTATAAATTTTGCTTCAAAGAAGGTTGTAGACTTCTTCATCTTTTGGACTACATTAGAGTAATTGGAGTAACTTCATCGACATTGAGCAGCTGTTTTTCCTGCCACCTGAGAATTTCGCAACCAGACCAGGTCTCAAAGTCTTACCATCGAGCAACTTCATCTCATGATTCGTGATGAATTCAACAGGCTTCCTGACACCCTTGACAACAACTCTCACTGTGCTGGAGAAACACACCAGCATCTTCATCGTGCAGTGACCCGAAATATCCGACCGACGATAGCTGAAGCCCTCATCTCTACGGATTGGACTCCAGCTACTCGTCTCATAACTACCGGATTTTCTGAACTTTGAGATTGTTTCAGAATTATTTTCGCTGTTCCAAATTTTCGTGTTGTATCATATTTACGTGTATCATGTACTAATTTCCGTCAAAATTTCCGTATTCAATGCTTCCTATAACTTGAAAATGAATGATGTCACATTCAAAACGTCGTTAATAAATTAAATTACTTCCTTGAATCTGAATTTTTATCAACCAACGTCCACTGAAGAATATTGTTCGATCCTGAAAATTTAAATCAATGATTTCTCTGGTCATTAACCACTCGTGTTTAAATAAGCTTATTCTGCTATCTTATAGTAAAATCATGATAAGTGACTATAACTCCAGTTCGATGCATTGCTTTTATATTATAACATTATCATTATATTCCACGAAAAAACCTTGAGTCAACTGCTCACACAAAGTCGCTGTTTAATTAATTCGTGGCCAAAATGAAGAAATAAAGCCATATTAGTCTGGAATATAATTAATCGTCTCTTTGGATAGTTTCGCCTAATCACAGAGTTCTCTAAAGCTTTCCTAACATCGAGAGTCACGTCAGACATATTTTACATGAGCCTCATAAACGGATAACATAAACTCTAACAAATTTTTAGCCAGCTATGACATGAAACGACTGAAATACGTCGCTTGTTTGCAAATTATATTAAGTCCAAATGGCACATCAGTACGATTCGGACTATTTTTCTCGTAGCAGTGAGATTGGGATTTATTGCTTAAAATAATTATTTCAGAGACCAATGAAATATCTTTTGGAATTTTTGGGCAAATTGTTGTAGACAATACTTCTTTGTAGCCGATGGCACTTCATGTCCTCGTAATTTCGAGCGAGTGGCGGACAAGTGCGTGATGTATCTGAGCGAGGAGCAGACATGGCGCTCTGCTGAGGACACTTGCAGATCCAGAACTGGTCACCTCGTCACCTTCGCCGACGTGGACGAGCTCATCTTCGTGCTGCGATTCCTCACCCGGCCTGGTGAGTCGTGCAACTCCAGCAAGACCTTTGAAACCCTGAGGGTTCACTACCAACAAGTCTCGTGTCAGACTAATCCATATGTTAGTGGTCATAACCATCGGGTCTCGTGTGATTACTAATCCATATCATGCTTGCGATCAATACCATCGGGTCTCATTTAAAATCATTCATACTTTCGTCTAATGTAATTTGGTTGGTAAATCCCTCCTCACGATTCGTCGCAAAGATTCAATATGTTCCCTATTACGATTCGGGGTGTGCAGCGTATTTCGTCGACTTGATTGACAAAATTCTTGGTATGCGATAAAAAAAACTCTTGTATGTTTTAAGGGCCTTTCTTGTTGTAACTTAAACTGTCGACAGTCGGCAATCAATTTTCGTTGCAACATGGATATCATTCCAAATTACATTAATTATAAATTCGAAATGCGATTTTTACACAAACTGCTCCACAGCTTTGACAGCGAAGTACAAAAAGTAACTGTAAGGATTGAGTATTATCAATGATATTTTTAGTATTTCATCGAGTTGTTACGAGTAGATCCTTATTCAGTTTGAAGCCGTAAATACCTTGTAGCCTGAACATCATGCCATGATAAAGCTGATACTTTCAGTTGGTAAATTATAAAGGGGATATTATGTCTGATACCTGATGGTTTCGGTGTAGTAGCCATTTAGGCCTGTCCACCCGCCTTGGGTGCTTCTAGGCTATTTATACTTCATTTGGTTGCATGTATGGTAGATGACGCAGACAACATGAGAGCAGAAAATTTGACTAGCTAGTGGTAGCTCTCAGGATCGAAGAGGCTCGACCGGTTCGCCTAGAATTCATTAAGCCTGTTTTTGAAGGCGTTTAAGGAGGGGGCAGCTACGACGCTGCCTGGAAAATCACTCCATGTGGACACGGCCCTCTGTGAAAACAAGCTAGCCATTACGTTTCGTCTGCTGCGTTCCTGGGCGAGCTTCAAGCTGATACCATAGCTTTTGTCTGTTTCTTGTCTTAAAATTTCAATGATTATCCATCCCCAGGATCTGCCACGAACGTCTTCCCGCCGCTGTGGGTTGGCATCTCCGCGGAGAAAAGCACCGACGTCCCGGACTCGGAGGAGCTGCAGTGGCGTTGGGTGACCGGTCGTGTCGAACCACACGTGAGTGACATCAAACTCGCTCAACTTCATAAAGCGAATGATACTACGCATGATATGAAAAATATATTAGATGCAAAAACGAATTACTTCTCATATTGCACAATCAATTCCAAACACGAGAAAGTTAAATTCCATTATTTCGTTCTAACAAGCTCATGATCTCGGCTGCAATTAAATAATTCCCAGAATCGTCCAAGAAGGAAGACTTATTGGCCTTCTAAGTAAACAAAGTATAATTTTTCCAGCCATCTGCTCTGCTGGCGACGTTACGCCCGACCGAGGAGCGCTGCGGGTTCCTGGATTCGCTGTCGTCGGCCTACATAAGCCTCACCGTCGACTGCCGCGATCGGAAGCGCGCGCTGTGCGAGGCTCCTCCGCTATAACGACCATCACGACCCCTGATGAACTACGCCTGTTGAACTACGCAGTCCGCCGCTCTAACGACCATCACGACCCCTGATGAACTACGCCTGTTGAACTACGCAGATTACCGACGCACTGGAACGCTCTATGAGGATCTAACTTCGTCTTGATTTTATTCACCTTGGAATCGAATCTTCTCTGCAAAATCACTTGCGTTTTTAGCTTTATTCCGGGCAGTAGGAAGCCACTAATTTCAAGTAAGAAGCTCAGCCACAACCGTTGACCACATTTGCCATTTTTTCACAATACACACAGGGTTCTTATCTCCCTAAATTTGTTTTTCACTGTCGATTAAACATAAAATTTGATAATATAGGTACATACGTATTGCTTTGCCTGTTTGAAGTTAAAAATTATATTGACTAAGAAAAGATTTTATTCTGCTCAAAATCAAATTAATTTCTCTCAAAAAGTCATATCGACTGATTTCGTCATATTTCTGTTCATCTATTTTTCTAATAATTTCAATCAGATGGGCATTTTCATTTGAAAATATCGATAATGCAATTGAAAATAATGACTTAGTTCTTCAAATTATCATAAAACACCTGAATTTTGAGAATTTTGTTGCAAATTATCAAACATCCCTGCATAAATTCCTAAATATACATCCCGCATTTAATAAGTTTTTAATTCACCTTGTATGATCACTCAGAACTCTTTGGGTTAAGGGGACCGACTACCCTCCGGAAAAACTTTTACAGTTATTATCCGATCATCATGAAACTTCACATACGTACGCAAAATGTAAAAATAAGAACATTTTGCTCTTATGAATTTTTCGAAAAAAAATTGATAGAAAACGTGATATTCAGAGAAAACGGACAAGAACGGGTACTATAGAAAATCTATCTCCTCCTACAAATATCGTCCTACAACATCCAGACACATATCATTAGATTCGTAAAGACCATATCTATCGACCTAGCCATCGCTTTTTTCATTTTCCCCATATTTTTTTTATGCGCGTTTTTCCCATTTTTTCACTTTTTTCACCCCCTCCCCCCCTCCTCCCCCATATATAAGACGAACCATGCTCAAATTAAAAAAAATCGATGGCTAGGTCGATAGATATAGTCTTTACGAATCGAATGATATAACTCTCATTGCTGTAGCTTGAAAACTGTAGGAGGAGATAGGTTTTCCGTGACAATAAGTTGAACTTTTCAGGACGGCGCGACAAAGTCTCGCGCGCCTCGAATTGTAACTGCAGCACAACTCAAGTAGAAACTATATTCAACGATTTCAGCAGCTAATTACTTTATATCTAATTACTTAAAGAACTCTCCCACCCGCTTCCCTTTAAAGAGACGTCATGAACGTAAATATTGGTGTACAGCGATGGCAGTGGTACCATTGGAAAGAGCAAAATTCCAGCTTTAAGATGAGCAGAAAAACCGGAAAACGCCAAAATTGAAAATTTTAGGGTAGTCGGTCCCCTTAAATAATTCTTGGAAATAACCTCTTAATCTCAGAAACCTGGCGAAGTTATTGATGCTTAAGCATCAATATCAAGTAGCCCTTAATCTTATTTCGTAACTCCGCAATATCTATCTGTGTTCTACTTCAGTAGCCATAAGAGTTTAACTTCCAAAACCTATTTGCGGTAATGAGTAAAGTCTTGTGACAGTGAGTGATTTTTGTGACAGGGATTTGAATCTTTCTATAACGTGGAGTGAAGATTGGCAGCCGTGGTGTCAGTGCTTCTTTTTCCACATGACCACTCCTAACTCACTCCATTACATAACATAACATAGTGATGTCGGCGCTGAAGTGTCGGCCTGATGTTGCCTGTCGCCGATTCTTTTACTTTTCGTGCGTTGTTAACAGAGGATATAAATTCGTGTAATTTGACCGTATCTTTTCAGGACTGACGATAGTTTGATAGATATACTAGACTCCCACCGGGTTCCATATGATGCTAGGCATTTCAAGTCTGAACATATATTTTTCCATAGATTTATCTAGTCTGTTCTTGAACGCGTTCATACTTGGAGCGCCAACGATGTAATCGGGGAGGCTGTTCTACATGTCGGTGATTCGAAGCGGGAAGAAATGTTGTCGCATGGAGAAGTTGCAGCACAGTTTTTTTAGTTTATAGCCGTGGCCCCTGGTGTTGGTTCTTGTTTCAAATTCTAGTAATCCTTCGGGGACCTTGTATACCATGAGTATACTTGTATACTTCAATGAGGTCCCCACGCAGACGTCGATAACTGAAGCTTGGGAGCTTCATAATCTTCAATCTTTCTTCATAGGACTTGCCCTTCAAGCCTGAAATAATCCTTGTTGGACGTCTTTGGACATTCTCTATTCAATTTTTATCCTTTTCAAATCTCGGTGACCACACAACGTTTCCAAATTCTAGGTTCGGGCGCACGACAGCAACAAACAACTGCTTCATNTATGAGCGTCTGATTAGTCCAAGAAGTTTGTTGGATGTGTTAGCTTGCGTTTCAACATGCTTAGAAAATTTCAGCTCCTTGTCGACATAAACTCCGAGATCTTTTTCCACGCTAGACTTTTCAATCAATTCTCTCTCATTGCATCCATGTCTTATACTGCAATCTTGCTGTTCATTGTTCTTCCCGAGGTGAAGTACTTTACACTTGTCAGCAATAAACCGCAGCTGCCACGTATCAGCCCAGTTAACTAAACTGTCAAGATCATCTTGCATTTGCACATTATTTGACGCATCTTTCACTGTATTTTAAACTTTTGTGTCGTCGGCATACATGGAGCACACGCTGGACAGTGCCTCTGGTAGATCGTTTATAAAAGCTACGAACAATATAGGCCCAAGGACGCTTCCTTGTAGCACGCCACTGCGCACTGATACCCAGTCTGACACGGTTCCGTGAATACTGACACGTTGTCGTCTACCTACTAGAAAATCTCTGATCCGTTGGATTACGTTTCCCTCTATTCCCAAAGACTTCACTTTACGAAACAGCCGCTCATGCGGAACACTGTCAAATGCTTTGGCAAAATCGAGGTACAATGCATCCACTGCATGGCTCCCTTTCGTCCAGCAGGCGAGTCCAATCGTACAACGTGGATAATAAGTTAGTGTGCAAGATCTACCGGCAATAAAACCATGTTGACACTCTGATAGGAGATGGTGAACAGTCGAGTGATCGATAATCCTATCGCTCGCAACAGATTCCATTAGCCTACAAACAACACTTGCCAGACTGACAGGGCGATAGTTGCCGGGGCTGCTTTTGTCACCTCTTTTGAACAATGGTGTTACTTGAGCTTCTTTCCAGTCGGACGGCAAAGTTCCTTCGTTAAAGGTTTTTTTGAAAGAAAGAATTAGAACGGTTGCTAATTCTTTGAGCAATCTGGATGGAAGTCAAGGTGATGATATGAGTCAAGGTGAAACAATCTTAGCATGTTCAAAAATAAATCATAAGCCTTTTTATCTTGTCATTTATGCATATCGTTCTTCAAAGTTAAAACTGAAATTATTTTGAGAAAAGTATGAATTATACACTTGGAGGTTCGGTGCCTTCGTAGCAAGTATACCTAATTTCCTAGCTACTGGAGTAAGAAACGTTAGAGTTTAAAGCAAAATAGAGCATAAGCGTCCTATTAATAAAATAGGGGGACAAGTGCATTCAGTCTTGTTTTTTCTTAACGTAAAGTGGTGCTGTTCAAAGGACGAATTTTGTACAAATTCATTTGTATCCCAAGTTATACCGATGACTATTTACTTGACTTTGTTTTTTGGGGGCTTTCATAGGTCTATCAAATTAGAAAATATATTTTTCTACCTGGAGACAATTCAAAAATATTTTAAATTTAAATATGCTAAAATAATTCATTTTGATATGCTGGAACAGACCTATCAAGTATCAATAAGGTGCAGTGCATATCGAGCAAAAAAAGTTATTTTGGTTTGTTTGCGAATATTTATGTTGCAATATTCGTAACGTATTTCACTGAAATAATTTATTTCCATTTATCGACTCATGGTTCCAGAGAAACATTTACGTCATCATAGCTTCTTACTGCCACGACCAGACATACAAACGAACTGAAAAAACATCCTTGAAGTCGATTGAATTGAACAAATTCGTGAGGAACAACGTAGAATCAACGGCACCGTGATGAATGTAAGTCATCAACGTTTGTTGATTTTCTGACATCAGCTGTAATTGCTGTTTTTGGAGCTTTAATTTTTTGTCAGATAGCACAATCTTGGTTGATAATTATGAAGACAATAATTTTTAAAATTGAAAGCAATTGATTTTTGAGAAATTTAATCTTCTTATTTATCTGTCCAACCAGCGTTAATTATGGCTAAGTTTTTCAGTCCACTGGCTTGGTATCGTATTTTTGGGGGTCTTTTAACCAACTTTGTGGATTATCTATAATCACTGGAAAATCAGTTTCAGCGCTTGTTCGCCGCTCAAAAACTAAGATTCTTCCTAATAGCAATTCTTATTTTTCGTTAAGAACTATTCATGTTTGCCTAAAAGAGTCCAGGTTTAACTTATGGCTTTCATTTTACCCAAAGTTTTGTCGTTTCGGCGGGTGGCTTCAGCCTTGATGGCAGTTCTGCTCTGTAGGGTCGCAAGTGCTAATCCTACCGATAGCACCGGTGAGATTTTTACGTAATTGCAATCATTTAGAATGAAATCCATATCAAATCTCACATAATTAATCGAATTTATTGAAGCTGAGTTCTTACTTTTCCCTCATTTACACACTACCTACACGAGATGCCATACGAAACCGTGTACACGAAGAAGGTTTTGCTGCGATTTATATTTCCGGGAGTCGGTCCGTTTCCTCGAATGTTCTTTCACATAAGAAAAGCTATACAATTTCATCTCATTCTTCTTTTTATTCATTGCGTGCATATTATATTCATTGGAGATATAGGTGTCGTGTAATTGACGATCATAAAATGAAAGAAATCCTGCCTTTTTATCACATGAACCACTTTTTGTAATCGCCATGCTCTTCATTATAATCTAAACAGTTGAAAACAACTTAAAAGCATGATTTTTCACTATATTCTTTTCAAATGCTCTATATGTAACGAAGTCATGAGATATCTTCAGCACTGTCTGATTAAGTCGTTGGCGAATAATTCATTAATGCAAATAGTGAGTTCCAGTATAAATATTATGTCAAAATACCTGCCAGTATATTCTCAAAGAGTCAATAATATTGTATTTCCCCATTTTTATGCAGGCATTGTTGATTCGCCCCTGATAAAATAGAGGGAAATTTTTTGACATCAATAAAATCGATTATTTGCAATTATTCAAATTTTTATAAGAAGGGCGGGCAGTGAAATCACGAGCCTATTTCATCACCGAGTTTCCATGCACAGAGCCGTGCGATGAAGGCCAGTTCGTGTGCGCCAACGGCCGCTGCATTCCTGGTCACTTCAGGTGTGACGACGACGACGACTGCCACGATGGCAGCGATGAACTCGAGTGCATTGGACGTAAGTTTACAGCAACGATTTCTTGTCTTTCTGGCTAT